TCTATCTGTAAATAAACACTAATTGATTGATAGATGGGTCAAAAAGCACATGTTCACCACTGCCCTGCTTTATGCTTGTGCCACTGCAGTCATAACAGTCTGGTCATTTTAGATTATAATTGTCTGAACTGTGTTATCATATTACATTTACCTTGTTCTGTATCAAGCTTTTCTAAAACTGAACGGAAGTTAAATATAATCATTTAAGGTCCCTTGTGATAAAGGCAGTTCACCAAAACAGCAGGAAGTGACATCATTGAGCTATTAAACCAAAGATGGGATTGGAAAGAGGCAGATATTGACCTTACACATCAGTGCTGATTCATTGGGTTAAAATGCTTATGTTCAGCATTGCTCTGCGTTATGCACTGTAACATTATGTCACTGTAACATTATGTCACTAATGAATTAGGTTGCAAATGAACTTTTTCTAGAACTGCACTGAAATTACCCAAAGTTGCCCTAATAATTGAAATCCTGGTTACTCACAAGTGAGAAATATTGTGTAAACATGTTTCCTTAAATCAATGTTGTTATGTGGTTATTTCTTCTTAATAGAAGCATTCAAACAGACGTCTTGTGATTGCAGGAAGTGACATCTTTTAGCTATTAAACCAAAGATGGGATTTCAAATGGACACATAATGACCTTACATTATACTGAACGGCAGAGAATTATTGAATTTGAGGAGCAGAAATATGTAGAAAGTGTGTAAGCTGTAGGAGGCTGAGGAACCACTACACACTGCCCCCCTCTCCACCTCCACCTCCACCCCCTCCTCCTCACCAAGCCTGACAAGATGGATGACATAATGGGGGCATCAGAGATAATCTGATGGTCATGGTCTAGTTAAACACACCATGTTATGATCCTTATAAAACAAACTACCTTTCCAAAAGGATAAATGTCCCTCCTCTCACTCCTCCACTGGGGAAGGTGGGGTGGGGGAGGGAATTCATTGCATCCTTCATCAACTGCAAGACTTGTACCGGCTTGACAGAAATTTAATTCGAGGCAGCTCTTGAAAATAATTATTGTATTTTGAGAGGAGTAATCATTGGCCGGGACATGATTGAATGTGTCCATGCCTATTGACTTTTGCGATGATTAATAGGTTTGTTTAGTCGATATTCCCATCGAAATTGTATAATTAATTATCCCCGGCGCTGTCAGGGCGGGACGATGGAGAGCCCTGATGAGTATTTGGGAAGATTACATTTTCTGGGCGCTCCTGGCGTCAAGGGGCACTGCGGGGCCTTGCTCCGGTGGAGAGATGGGAGGAGCGTGTGTGTCTGTGTGTTTCGTGCTGTAGATCTGCACAGTTTTCTTCCCTCTCCTGGAGCACACACCCACGAGGCCCTCCCCCTTCCTCCATCCACATTGATTTTGTTTCAGTATCTCTTTATTGTAACTTTATCAGTGTGGTGTCGGCAGATGGGGGGCTTGCAGAGGGGGGTGCGTTTGTGTACTGGCTGTAGGAAGTGATGAACCTTTCTGTCTGGCCTGCCTCTCCTTGTCATGCGGGCGGCGTAGTCCTCTGCATTACTCAAAGGCCCCGAGACGTTTTCAACATGAGGGGACATAAAAGAATAAAGAACAAATGCCGCTCCGGCTTAAAGTCATATTTCATTTTTGTTACCCGTCAAACCTCTTAAAGGGGGATACAGAAGCCATGCTAAGTGAAATCCGACCTTATAGGATTTATATAAACCCCCTTATGTGGTCCCTGTTTTCTTGTCCCTGTATCGTTTTTTTAAATGTTTTTATTCCAGTCTCATTGTACAAACATATTCACACTTTTGTCAATATTTTTTCATATGGCATTGAACTTCAGTTTTTGGAAGTCAAAATGATCCCCTTATCGTTGAAGTCACTGTTTTTTCTTCTGACATTTTTTGACATTTTTCCAATATCCTTCCACCGTACCCAGATCATTAACATGGGAAGGAGGGTTCAGAAGCACAGTGGTGTGGTTTAGTTTGGGTTGGTCCCTCTCAACACCAATCGGCCACCCCCACCTTACCAGTGACATTTTATCGCTTTTCCTCACAAAATAATAATGAACATCCCATAAAAAAAGGAAAAATATGGCCCCTGCAATGAAAGCCAAGTGCAAGGTGTAAAAATCAAATTAAATGACCTTTCACCCCAACATTTATTGATGGCTTTTAATGGCAGAAGGTGTTGTCACAGGGGATATTTGACAACGTGTAAATCAAAGCACAATTACAGGTGGTGGCACCGTGAGAGGGACAGTTGGGGGCCAAAGACCTCGTATTCCCTTTTTTTCTACTTCCTGCCTCCTAACTATCACTGCCACTCTGATTTAGGAGCACGCTGTTCGTCCAAGCAAAGACAGAAATGTGCACCCATGACAGGGTAGTTTTTACCCCGACACTTCTTCATCTTTTCCCTCTGTGATATTGCTGCAGCCGCATCACCACCAACTCCCAAGGTCATCTCTGGTTGACAAACTACTCCTGGCTTTATAATGTCATGAGGCCATGAACAAATATAAGCCGGGGTTTTTTTTCTAAACCACTGACCCGGCAGAGCAGCGGAGCATTATGCTTAATTGACACTGGGATGAAATGTGGTGTGAAATTTGTCGCTGCAGGGCTTTTCATTCACCTGAATGAATTTCTCAACATTCACTTAAGGTAGATACACACAACCATATGTTGCTCATCCCCTGCTTAAACTGTCACACACATATAAAATGAGGTGCTTAGCCTCAAACAAACACAATCAGGTGCGAACATGTGTAAAATAGTCAATTATTGATTTTGGCATGCACCATTATTCAAGTATGAGAATGTATTGCTTAATATACTCTTATATATGCCAACAAGGGCAAGTGCGCTACAACAGCCCAACACACTTTCAACACACTGCAGCTTCAAAAAGTGGTGCAAGCACAAATGTGCCAAAACACATGCAAATAAAAAAACTCAGCAACTTGACAAAACATGCGCAACGTTTTGAAAATATTCCTCAACTTGACGAAACTACTAAATCAGAAGGAGTCATGTGATCACATTTTTACAGTTACATTTAAAGTATGTTTCTAACAACAGTGATTGTTGGACAATTTTATAATCCCGAACGTGGGCATGTGTTTTGATGTTGGTGAAGATGTGTTTCTTGATTTGAACGTTCTTTGGTTTTTATATTTACACATTTTTGAAAGCACATCACGTGTGTTTCGGGACGTTGCAGTGCGTTTGCCCCTGTCGGCCACCGTACTTGCTCAAAATGAAAAGTAAGAGCATTTTCTCATAGATGATTATACAATTAGACTTATTTTTGCGACCAGTGGAGTTGCCCCCCTTTAGCCGGTATAAGAATGCAGGTTTAAGCCGATTGCGCATTATATTTACAGATTTCAGTTTCTCAATGAATTATCCAATTTTTATTCTGTTCAACTCTCAATGATCTTTATTGCTTTTGGCATCATAAATCCAACATCAGTCAGATCAGGACACACACACACACACACACACACACACACACACACACACACACACACACACACACACACACACACACACGGCGGGGTGTCAGTGTGTGGATGGTGAGACGGGTGTACAGCGGAGCGTGGGGTTGCATCCCCTGCTCAGCCATCCCTCATCCACAGTGTGTGGGTCTCTCCTGTGACCTGGGAGTTTGATGAATGCAGCACATCTGCCCTCCTGAACCTCTGAGACTCGTCTGGGAGGCCCCCCCGCCTGCAAGTAATGGCCACTGTTCTACACCACTGGCACATAATCACACATACACACAAACACACCGAGCATCATCGCGATGGCACATACTTGATTTCTTTTAAACACGTGTGTGCTCAACAGTGCCTTGAAGACTGGCAACACACACACGGTGATACATGCACAACATAAATATGTCATCCACGATGGAAGACTGTAGTTACCTTCTGCTGATATAATCATATCCCATGTCTCCACTCTGTGAGGACGTCCTTCTAAATATTACCCATGTGCTATGCGTCATCATGTAGCCATCAACATATTGCTGCATGTAATACAGCGATGTAATTTCATTAACGTCATCTTCCTATAGAGCCGCTGTCAGACTCACACGGCCCGGGATGAGCTCTTCATCAGGACATAATTGTAGCCTGGTGTTTGAAACATGTACAATAGCCCAATTTACCACCAACTGAACATATCTCCACGTCTTCCTGTCTGAAAGGGAGGGGCGGGGCTAGCGCGGGGGCCTCCGGGGTTGCTGGGAAACGTCGCTGTCAGTCTCTCAGGGAGGCAGTCATGCAGGTGCCAGAGCTACCTGTTCATCTCCCAGATAATTAATGTGTACAAGGAGTCGCTAATTGCACTTTTCACTAATGATTTATGGGTTTTGTGAAAGGGGGGAAATTGGGAGACGTGTGTGTGTACACTCTAGTGAGTGAGTACAGCTGGGTGAGGAGACATGATTGATGAAGAGTGTGTGGATGCACTGTCAGTGTGGAGAAATAGACCCCCATTGGACAGGGCTAGTAGCACACACACATGAATGGTCAACTGCTTTCCATTTTCTCCAGCGTGGGGAACATGGAGATAACTAAATATAGCAAAAAATGGAACCTACTCTCCTGCACTCTCATTTGGCTTATTCTCATCCACCCCTCACTAGGGTTCATGATAGATAAGTAGTGGCTTCTAAGTTAATATCAGATATCAAATAAAAATGTCCAAAAAAAGGCTGTTTTTTGTCCTCAATTTGTCTTGCCATGTGCCTGTTTTTTGGAATGAGTCTACTTCTTTTTCTTATTTTACAGAAGACAATTCTAGAGTTTGACCTATGACAGCTCATGGGAAAACTGTTACTGCCAACCAACGTTTTGAGAATGTGTTTTTAAAAAAAAATGTATTTATGTTAAGCAATTTCCGTTGAATTTCCCTTGATCCAGAAATGTAGACAAAAAAAAAATGTGAATAACAATTTCTCTCACTCATAATTCCTGTTCTTTTTATTTTGTTTTTCCACAGCTTTTAGAGTATGACAAAGAGCTGTCGGTGTACAAGGATCGGCTGCATGAGCTGGAGATCTCCTTCCCACCCAGGTAGGAAGCCATTTTACATCACTCCCACACATGCATTCACACCAACACCTACGTAACTACAGTACTGTCTGATTCTCTGCTACTGAAATGACAGCAATGGTATTAGGTCCTGATGTCTCTTTAAAGCCGCTCTAGCAGCATGGCTTGGTCAACTATATTCATAATATTTGGTTATTTCTTTATTAAGCACTTTGAATTGTCGCGTACAGAAAAGTGCTATATAAATAAACTTGCCTTGCCTTGCCTTGCCTATTAGCAGTGTATTTACATTATGTTGAACATTACTGCGTCTCTTAAGCTGCGCTCACATGATACGCGATTTGGTCACTGCGAGGTTGGGCGCATCAAGGTCAAATTTGAAATCATTTCAACTTCCAGCGCAACGACAACAGCAAGTTTCCTTTTCGATTGGTTGCAAGTTTCCAAGCACATTTTGGATGTACAGCAGCACAATTTGCAAAAAGGCTAGGTGAAGCTGATTTCAGATCAGGGACCTATTACTCTGCTTTAGAGGCACGTTTTCTTCTCCCTGTTTACCAAACAATCAGATTGTTGGTAGAATGAAGTTGTGTTAGAAACAGATGCATGTCTGTTCTCACTGCAAACTCCAAAGGCACTATAACAAGCAAACATTTAGTCATCCAACGTTTTATTCTCAAAAATGCAGTTATTAACGCATTTATAAATATAAAACTAAAATAATCCAGGAGAGTTGTGCCGTTTCCTACTGAACCAGCCTTTATTAGAGCTGCATGACATAAACAGTGTTTGAACTACACAGGGTACAATCACATGTTGGTAAATGCAGTGATGTTGACCAGATCTTGGCCATGAAGAACTCATAATTAATATGTAAAATGAGAAGAAGTCAATCATCCCCTTATTGTCCAAAATGGTTTTATGAACACATTTGGATCTGTATTTGATGGCTATCAGTTGTTAAGTATGATTGGATACGGTCCCAAACTGCTCCCATGTGTGTGTTTTTTCATGTGTGTGTCGGCGTGCTTTGGGCTGCATTGATATTCCGTCTCAGTGGGACATGGGGGAGACTGGAGCGGGTGGTCTCCTCTCCTCTTCCTCAAACAAATGCATTTGCAATTAGCCTTTTCAGAGGAGAGGGAGGGCAAACACGCGGCCAGCGTGGAAATATGTTTCGGGAGCAGCGCGTTAATGGCGCTTGACCTTTGGCGTCGGTTGTGACTCAATCAGTGCAGATAATGAAACGCTGTAATCAAACAATAATTACTTGATAAACCGCTCTGGTGGCAGCGTGGGGCGGCGGGGGATTTTAGTGTGAGAGGAGAGTGGGCTTGAGATACTATCAAAGCGTGTGTGTGAGTTTGAGATGGTGTGCATACATGTGTAAAACGCAGCTACAGACAGTGTGTGTGGAAGAGAGAGTGCATGTGTCAAGGTTCTGCCAGTCCCAGTTTTTTAAATGACTCTGTGTCTTAATCAGAGACCCCCATTTACATCACTTTGCATAAGTGACAGGTGGATTTATTGTCCTTTTACACTGGCTGACTTTTGCACCTATCCATATAATACTGAATCATCTCTCCGCAGGGAGGGATGAATGGGCTGCTCTGGAAGAATACAAATGATTTCCACATACTTGAGGTGATGATGAATCAAATAGATGAAACCCGGGAGCAGCATATGAAATTTGATTTGATCTACTCTGTGCGCGCGACAAACCATATCATTGTCAGCCTTGTAATGGGTAGCAGTGGCCTAGTTAAACTTAAACAACCCCCTCCTCCCACTTCATACACACACACACCCCTCCCCCTGTCAGGTCTGCCTTGTGCTCCTTGAGCAATCAAGCCTCAACGATTGTTCTCCATCACATAGCCCGCTCCGGACCGGCCCCTCGCCATCTGTGAGGTTATTACTCTTTTTAATGCAGGCCATCAGAACACACCCTCGCTGACACACACACACTCATGCACGCACACGGCTCACTTTTGTTCAGATCTATAAATCAATACTAGTCACTACCATTTAATCTGCGAGATGATTCTGTCTGTGCTGTCCACTGGTGGGTAGGAAGTTGTCACAAAATTAGACGTGTTGTCAAGGTTGACCTAAGGACTGGATTGGACTGATTTACATACCAGAGATAGCCTCAATGCAGCAACTACTACATCTATGTATGTTACTACACCTGAAGCATCCCTGGCCAGCGTTTCAGTTTCATCACATCTTTTACATTACGTTTAGCTGACACTTTTATCCAAAGTGACTTACATTAAGTGCATTCAACCATGAAGATGCAACCACAATAATTCTGCAGGTACATTAGCTCTCACTCAAACCAATATAAGTGATAGTGCATCCGGTTTCAAATAAGCCAAACCTTTCCAAAGCTAAGTACAGAATTAAAAATGTTTTTATATTTTTGGGCTGGATTAGCCTTTATTGGAAATTGACTGAGTTGAAATAGGGAGACAGAAGGGATGGCATTTGTAAATGATCCCAGGCTGGATTCAAACCTGTGTCCTCCACACGGGCACCAGTACATGTACTATTTGCCATAGTAGTGTCCAAACGTGTTTTCAGTATGCAACAGAATACTGTCTACTCTACTTCCACCATTTTGGAACCACGACAGGTGTTTTTGTAGAGGGGTACGACGTGGTTCCAGTGAGGAAGGGAGTGAGTAGAGAGGCTATTGGCCGATGCGGAGCGAAGGGATTCTACGGGACTGTTTGGTTTTACCATCTCCTAAATGTTGGAAGGAATGTCCTGATCCTTTCACAGCAAGGTAGGCCAGTACCAGTGTCTTAAAGTAGATTCAGGCTGGTAGTCAGTGGAAGTAGGGACAAGTTTGGCAGTGTGGGAGGACTTAGGGAGGTTAAAGACCAGTCGCGAGTGTTTTTGAATGGACATCCAGTTTTGGTAGGTTTTATTGTACATTATGAAACATGCATTTTTCACCCTGTGTCACTGCAGAGGCTTCATGCTGTAAATGCATATCTCTTTGCTTTCAAAAAGTCGTCTGTGAAAGTTGGCCGTGACAACTCTTAAGTACTTGGGCACCAGGGTGAGGAATTGGCCCGGGCCTTGTCACAGTTGGACCTGTAGCTAGTCGGCTGCTGCAGGCCGGCTCGTACACAGGAGCCCAGGTATGAGCACTCGACCAGGTTTCTGAGACGCAATAGATGAGCGAATGGTTAGAAACTAATCGTTTATTTAGGCACAGTTTCTCCTGTGTTTAATGCTTGTGACTGCAACAATCTATTAGATAATTTTCCTAGCATAGGCTGCAGCATTGCCATTTGACTTAAAAATAATGGTTTACTTTTATTATACATTATGGTACTTTTGATTTCATATTTGAAATGGCACAACTAAGGTAATATCCCCTAAAACATACCAAGCCACCAGTAACTTATTCATGTATTTGGATTGATGTAGGGGAAAGCTTTTAGTACTCCTCTGATCTGATTTCTTTCCCCTTTTTTTGCACGAGATCGATGCAAAAATTGAATCTGGACCCCAGCTTCAGGAAGAAATTCAGTGGACAATGAGGGAGCAGTGGAAGAATGTATTTTGCCTGTAACATGGTTACTGGGAATGGGCTTTGAGGGGGATTTTGAGTGACATCAGACCAGCGGTACAACTCCATCAATGGATAAATCATGAGTGATTTCAGAGCAGGAAGATGGTGTGGAAGTTTTGCAATGTTGGTGGAAGGAAGGAACGATGGAGAAGTGTAGGAGAAGAAAGTATGGCTGCTGTCCCGTTTGTCTGTTTGTACAGTGGGAGAGAGGAGCCAAGGTATAGAGACATTCAGTACATAACATCTGGGTACCAGTGAGGTAGGACAGGAGTACAGACTACTGTTGATGCTGATAGTTGTTATGGGCAGGCCACATATACAGTCCTTTCATTCTTGCAGGACAATGTTTAGCAGGTATGTTTTCCATGACCATCGTTTTAGTTTAGCATATTAGCATGCTAGCAGATTTGAACTGAAAGTCATGGGTTCAGAAACATAGGATTCTTCCTCTGGGAAACACAACTATGAAATGTCATGATAATCCATCCAATGGTTGGAGATATTACAGTGTGGACCAATGCAATTGACCAAATGGCATTGCTTTCCCTATAACAGTGCTTCTAGCAAAACTCAAATGTAAAAAGCTAAATGGAACAAAACCAGATTCATAGCTCCGGTAAATACTCTTGTGGCTACTTGGACATAAAGTATAATTTAAGATGGAAAAGAGCTGGTGACCTGTTCTCTTTTTTCAAAGGGTGATGCCGATAACCTGGGAATTTGCTAGCACAGGCAAATATCTCTAAAGCATTTCCCCTTTATCCTACGCTGAACCAAAACCTCTCTTTAAGTACATATAGAGAGAGCGATGGGAAGGTGTTAGAGAAGCAGCCTGGCTCCAGTCCCATGTTTCCATGTTTGTCAAGTCTAGACGTGGAAAGAAACATAGAAGTAGAGTGTGGCCCAGGGGTCAGAGGTGATGTCGGTGAGGAAGGAGGCAGAAACTGATAAACAGTTGTGTCTTCACTGTTTGGGAAGCACCCTGGGAATAACCTTGGCACGTTAGCATACATTTCCCAAAGTTGCTCTGAAGACAAGCCAAAATGGAGAAAGCTACAACATTCACAGGTTGACGAAAGAGGAAGGTGGAGGTTTGAAGGCTGATGCCAGGCACAATAACTTTGCCCTTCAGATGAGAGAGAACATTCTGGTCAAGTGACACGAATGGCTCCCCGCCAGTTCCTCAATAACTGCTAATAAGTACATGTGGGAGAGTTTTCAGCGCAGTGGAGAATTCCTGCAGACTCGTTTTGAGCTCATAGGAAGTGCTCACACAGATGGCTCTCTTGTGCACAGTCAGTGTCATTGTTCTGTGAACAACACTCTTCACACAACATCTCCAGCCCTGAAGGCCTGTCCGTATGATGTCACCCTCTCTGCATGTGTGTTTGTGTGTTTCCACTGAGCATACATTAGTCCTATAGCCCTACTG